CTGGTTTCCACTCTGCCCCAGGCCTTCCCCACCTTATTGTCTGTGCCCATGGGCTTAAGAAAAAATATTTTTCCATATGCTTATTATGCAGATATATGACTTCTTTTGTGGCTCATGTATTAAAACATTTTAGCAATTATTCTTCTGGTATGTTTATGTTGTTTCTTTATATTGCAAATAAAAATATCGGGCCTGCCCTAACCCGTTTGGCTCAGTGGATAGAGCATCGGCCTGCGGACTCAAGGGTCCCAGGTTCAATTCTGGTCAAGGGCATGTCCCTTGGTTTCGGGCACATCCCCAGTGGGGAGTGTGCAGGAGGCAGCTGATCGATGTTTCTCTCTCATCGATGTTTCTAACTCTCTATCCCTCTCCCTTCCTCTCTGTAAAAAATCAATAAAATATATTTAAAAAAATATATATCGAGCCTTCATCTGTACTATGATATATTGTAAATATTTTCTAGTTTATCACTGGATTTACATTTTGTAATTGATGTGAAAATACTGATTTTAATGTTGTCAAATCTATTACTTCTTGCTCTTGTGGTTGTTGTATTTCTTGTTATGATTAAACAGGTCTTTCATAGTTCGTTACATAATATTTACTTAAATATTCTTCAAATAATTCTATGGTTTCACTTTTTTATATTTAATATTTTAATCTGTCTATAATTTATTTTAAAGGAAAGCATACAATAAAAACCTGATTTTATATTTTTCCAAAGCACTGACCAATTATTTCAGCTCAAGTTTTCAACTAAATTGAAATGCTAATATTCAAAATCTAGGTAATAATACTTACCTGGGTCTAATGTTAGGCATTGTCTTCTATTCTGGTGTCACTAACATAAAGTAATTATATCATTAAAGGTATATATTTTTATAAATATATACCTGGTTATGCTTGGTTATCTTCAAGTGTCCTTTGTTCCAAAAGGCTTAGAATTAATGAATCAGATTCCAAGTGTATATATGTGGCTTGTGATTAAAGTTGCATCAGATTTGACATCTTTATAATATTGAGCCTTTCCATTTACATTACTCATCACCATATATTATATTCTCCTTTTATGCTTCTTACTAGTGTTTTATTGTTTTGCTTTTATAGCTCCTATAAATTCTAAGTTTATTTCTAGTATTTTAAATTGACATTTCAAATAGGATTTTACATTATAATTTAAAAATTTATTGCTCACATATTAAAAAGCTATTGATTTCTGCACTTATTGAATTCAGCTGATAGTTATTCAGGTGGTTCTTTACATTTCTAAAACCAAATGTACATAATACACACACACACAAAAATGGCAGTTTGGATTTCTTTCAACAGTTCCAACTACTGTCCTTTTTTTATGCAACACATTGGCCAAAACTTTAATAACAATATTTAATGATTATTGTAATGCACTGTTTTTTAATGTTAGTTTTTCTATAAAACAAAATTTCTGTTTCAGAGAGATTTTTAAATATTTATTTTGTATTAGTATTTAAAGCCATGATTCTCAACTAATGGCTCAACACCCTAGTAAAAAACATTAATTCAAAGAAAGTTCTTTGCAATCCTAATTTACTGTTTATTCAAAGAATGCAAGCTGAATTTTATAAAATGCATTTGTTTTTATACCAAAATGATTATATTCTTAAACTTTATAGCTATTGTTTAGATAAATTATATTAATTATTTCAATTTGAGCCATCTCTCTTTACTTGAATGAGTCACACTCAGTCATAATCTTATTTTCTTCTAATAAATTACTAGGTTTCATTTGTTGCTGTTTAGGATTTTTGCATTTTACTTACACTTTGTTGTTGCCTCAGATTTTGTTAGGGTTTTTTGAGTTATCTTTAGCAGGTGCTTAAAAAATTATTTTATGCTTGCCACCTAAAATTAATTGGAAAGCTTCACATATTTTCCTGTGCTGTGGAATAGATTACACAACATAAAAAGTAGTAGATGTGCCCTAGCGGGTTTGGCTCGGTGGATAGAGTGTCAGCCTGAGGACTGAAGGGTCCCAGGTTCGATTCCGGTCAAGGGCATGTAACTTGTTTGTATGCGGGCACATCCCCAGTAGGGAGTGTGCAGGAGGCAGCTGAATCGATGTTTCTCTCTCATTGATGTTTCTAACTCTCTATCCCTCTCCCTTCCTCTCTGTAAAAAAATCAATACAATATATTTTAAAAATAAGTAGTAGATGAATGAAGGAAAAAAACACATCATACATATTTGAACCAAATGTATTTTTGGAAATAAATCTTGGATAACTTTATACCTTTATTATTGGTTCTTCCACTTTTATTGTCCTTTAGGCAATTAATTTATTTCTATATATAACTTTTTAAATTTCAAAATACCATATAGATAGCACATTTTATATTACAATTTTAGTCTCTTTGGTATGTTATATTTGAATTCTCATTTCTGATTTTACATAATTTTGTATGATTAAAGTTATTAGAGATTAAAACAGTTATCTCTAAAAATAAAAAAAATCTAAGTCTACTAATTTCCTACTAATTCACCAATTTCTGCCTTTATCTTGCACCAAGTGATTTCATTAGATTTATTAGTCATTTTGTTTCTAGTTTCTCATAATGAAAACTTAGTTTGTTTATTTTTGTATTTTCTTATTCAACAATACAAGCATTTAATATGATTGCATGTTTGGCCATGTCTCATGCAACGCTCCCAATATTGCTTCTTCCCAAGTATCCTATTGATAAAGTTTTTATCACCTCTTTGATACAAAAGTTATTTAGGAAAGGGTGGGTTTTTTTCCTATTTTTCCATCTTAAAAGAAATTAAGATTTATGATTAAGATAGTATTTTTATCTTTATGTTTATTTTATTGTAACCATATTCTATATCATTTCTGTTTATTAAAATTTATTAAGGTTTTAATCATATCTATAATAATAAAAGAATAATATGCTAATTAGACCGGACAGCTGAATGATCTTCCGGACTTCATTCCAGACGTCCTTCCGGACGAAGCCGCAGCGGCAGGGGCTGAGGCAGAGGCAGTTAGGCGATCAGGCAGACAGGCGAGCAGTTAGGGGCATCAGGCAGGCAGGCAGAGGAGTTAGGGGTGATCAGGAAGGCAGGCAGAGTGGTTAGGGGCGATCAGGCAGGCAGGTGAGTGGTTAGGGGCAATGAGGCAGGCAGGCAGAGTGGTTAGGGGTGATCAGGCAGGTAAGCGAGTGGTTAGGAGGCAGTGGTCCCGGATTGTGAGAGGAATGTTCGACTGCCATTTTAGGCCCACAGGATTGGGCCTAAACCTGCAGTCAGACATCCCCTGAGGGGTCCCAGATTGTGAGAGGGTGCAGGCCGGGCTGAGGGGACCCCCTCCACTCCTGTGCACAAATTTCGTGCACTGGGACTCATATATATAAATATATATATTGGGTAAGGCTATATTAGTATATGTACATATACATACAAATCAAATTGCCTTTATTATATTATTCATATTTCTTCATATTTTGTATATTGTTTTTAACCTATATTAAAGATTAAACACTGAAAAAGGTAAGTAAATGTATTTCATGTCTTTTGTTTCTGTCAATTTATCCTTATATGACTTAGAGACTTATTCTATATAGTTCTATATTGTTATCTTGTATAAAACTTTTCTGACATTGGGGTCTCATTGGAGATTGAAATCTTTATTAATATAAAATATATTTATTTGACCAATTGTATATATTTAATTTGATTTTTTCTTTTGACTAATTTTGAGGTTTTTGCTTTCATTTTTTTAAATTATTCATTTCAATATTTAATTGAAATACATCTTTGCATATATATTATAGATGTGTATATATATGTATATATAACCAGTATCATCCACACACATAACGAAC